GTGAGAGTGATTAAATGTATGTTTGAGGTGAGATATAGCAGTGTGACTGACAGGAGCTGGGATTCAATCCTCTTAGCATGCGGTCTGTGTCTTTAGAGGCGTTCTGAAGTCTCCTCTCTCTCACCGAGCTGCACACACACACACACACACACACACACACACACACACACACACACACACACACACACACACACACACACACACACACACACACACACACACACACACACACACACACACAAACACACACACAAACACAAACACAAACATTTTAGCCTTCAGCCTGTCACTCTCATTTAGTGGCACCATCACTGTTTCTGACTGGAGTGACTGGCTGCGCTAGTGGCCACATTAGCATTTTCACTGCCGTACAGCGTTCAGACTAACTGAAGGAGACGGTGCAGCATGTGTCCAAAATTCCCAGTCACCTTCTGCCTTATAGATGTAGACAACGAGCAACTTTTAGAGCTGTGCATATAAAAAAATATATGCCCAAATGCAAGTAATCATATTTATATCAATAGCAAATTAAGCATAAGAAAAGTTTAGGTTTGTAATTATTTAATAATTTCACTTAGCACATTGTAAACAGCAATTAGCTAACTTTTCTTGAAATTGCAAGTAAACCCGTTGCTTTTAAATAGATTTAGTTGACGTTAATTAAAAATGTGTGTAAACCTGTTGCTTTTAAATCGATTAGTTGACTTTACTTGAATATGTGAGTAAACCTGCTGCTTTTAAAGCAATTAGTTGCCTTTACTTGAAATTGTAAGTAAACTGATTGCTTTCAAAGTGATTTAGCTGACATTACTAAATTTGCTTTTAAAGCGATTAGTTGACTTAACTTAAAAATCTGAGGGAACCAATTTATTTTAAGACGATTAGTTGACATTTATTTAAAATGTAAGTAAATCTATTGCTTCTAAAGTGATTTGTTGTCTTTAAATTAATGGATTTTCTCACATTTTTATGTAAAGAAATTAGTTTACTTAAAAATGAGAGTAAACTTGTCGATTTTTTTTAAAGCGATTAGTTGACTTTATTTGAAAATGTGAGTAAACCTATTTCTTTAAAAGCGATTAGTAGACTTTATTTAAAAATGAGAGTACTGTAAAGAGTACCATTGCTTTAAAAGTGATTAGTTTACTGTACTTAAAAATCTCTGTGAACTCATTGTTTTTAAAGTGATTTAGTTGACTTAAAAATTTGAGTAAATCTGTTGCTTTTGAAGCGATTAGTTGACTTTAAAATTTAAGTGAACTAATTTCTTTTAAGGCGATTAGATGATATATATTTAAAAATGTGAGTAAATCTATTGCTCCTAAAGTGATTTGTTGTCTTTAAAGTCAATGGATTTACTCACATTTTTAAGTAAAGCAATTAGTTGACTTTAAAATGTGAGTAAACTTGTCGATTTTTTAAAGCGATTAGTTGACTTTACTTAACTATTTGAATAAACCCGTTGGTTTTAAAAACAATTAGTTGACTGTACTTAAAAATTTCTGTAAACTCATTTTTTTAAAGCGATTCGTTGGCTTATAATGTGAGTAAACCTGCTGCTTTCAAAGCAATTAGTTGCCTTTACTTAAAATTGTAAATAATCCTATTAAATTAAAAGTGATTAAGTTTACCTGACTTTAAAATGTGAGTAAATCTGTTGCTTTTAAAGCAATTAGTTGATTTTTCTTAAAAGGCCAGTAAACCCCTTGATTTTAAAGCAATTAGTTGACTTTATCTAAAGATGTGAGTAAACCTACTGCTTTTAACGTGATTAGTTGACCACTTAAAAAGGTAAGCATGCCTGCTGCCCTAAAATTATAAATAAACACTGTGCATGATTCATGATTTAGTCCCTTTATTAATCTGGGGTCGCCACAGCGGAATGAACCACCAACTTATCCAGCATGTTTTTACGCAGCGAATGCCCTTCCAGCCGCAACCCATCTCTAGGAAACAACCATACACACTCATTCACACTCACACGGACAATTTAGCCTACCCAATTCACCTGTACCGTATGTCTTTGGACTGTGGGGGAAACCGACGCGAACGCACACAGAAACGTCAACTGACCCAGCTTGAACCAGGTTTGAACCAGCGACCTTCTTGCTGTGAGGCGACAGCACTACCTTCTGTGCCACTGCGTCGCCATGATTATAAAGAAAAAAGTTGAATAGTGGTTCCAGCTTACAATGGGTTCAGCTTTTCTAGTAGCAAATCACTTTTTACAGTATGATTTTTACAGCCTTTACAGCCTTTTTAGTAAAGGCTTTGGTCCCACTTTATATTAAGTGTCCTTAACTACTGTGTACTTACATCAAAAAAATAAATACAATGTACTTACTGTGTTTATCATGTATTTGAGAACACTTGTGGTGCTTTTGAGTGGGGATAGAGGTTGGGTTATGGACAGGTTTGGTGGCATGGGTAGGTTTAAGGGTGGTTTAAGGTGTAAGGGATGGTCAACAGTGTGTTTACAAATGTAATTACAAAAGTTAGTTACAGATGTAATTACATACATCTATTTAATCAAGCATAAGTACACAGTAAATACATGTATTTACACAATAAGTAGATTGTAACAAACAGATTGTAATTCCTGTGTAAGTACATATTAGTTAAGGCCACTTAATATAAAGTGGGACCAAGGCTTTTATATATAATCACAGAAGATTCCCATTTAAAAACTTTTTTTTTTTCCATACATCAATATAGTAAACTGTAAAACAAATTTCAAAGCTAATAGTGATGTTCCTTAAGCTCTAAATCTGTGTTTTACAGTAACTGTAGTGTACACTTAAAATGTAACCACAAAATGTTCAAACATTTTAATTCAAATATATATAGAGAGTGTTAATCAATAATGAATTTACTGACTGTACTCAATTTACTGATTTTGTTGTTATTCTTTTCATGGAAAATTGTATTAAAAATGTAAAGTTGTTTTATGTAAGCTGTGAATTACACAGCTGAAGACACAGATTAACTTTGTGGTTTGTGATTTTGCCAGTGTTGTCATACTCAAACAGCAACATTATGCACTATAGGAAGTTGGAATTGTGTTGAGTAAATCATTACAGCACACTAAATTATAGCCCATACTTGTGCAACAAAGAAAGATCAGCAGGGGGTTGAATAAAAATCTCTTAATAGTCATAATATTTTAATTATCAATAAAGTAAGTGAACATTTCCATATACTGTATTTAATATATGACCAACTCAATTCAATTTCTGTCCTGTTTTCTTCACTCTGTTAAAAACAGCCCGGTGTATTAAGTAGAAGTTTAATTTTAGGTTGTGCGCCGTGCTTTCCCCTGTATCTATTACCCATGATCCATTTACGTTACGTCATCTGACCCGTGTTCAATTCCTTTTGCTTATTTTCACAGACCTTAAATGGTTTTACTTCTTCACAAAAACATTTGGAGCTTTGCTTGTGGAGAAGAAAAAAGAGTGAGAGAGAAAAAAAATCAGTAATCCCAGTGTGCGCTGCCAAGAAACTCTCTGATTCAAAAGCACTTCAGCTCTACCTTTCTCTTCAATTTTTGTGGAAAATCGGTTTTAAATGGCCTGCGCTGTTGTTTCCAGCAATGATGTTTTCCAAATATCTGTCTTGTTCGCTCATATTGTTGGGCCGTGTAACATTTCTTCTTCTGAGAACATCATCCTTATTTTCCAACACTTCCCTGTAGCTATAGGCTGCAGGAGGAGCCACAGTCTTCATCTTATCTTTTTGTGTGTGTGTCTGTGTGTCCAGCATCAACATGTGAGCACATCTGTGTCTGCTGTACTGATAACTCACAGTAGTCTTATCTGAGCACCTGTGTCACTGACTACAGCGGAAGCTTTGTGAGCGTAGATAAAACGTCACTGGCTGACTGATGCAATGGATAAGACAACGGCAACAATAGAAGATGCCTCATGACTTGCAGATGCGCTGCAATAACTGCCGAATACACAGAGACCAGGATCGATAGATGGATGGATAGATAAATAGATGGATTAATGGATGGACAGATAAAAATAGATGAACAATAATATCTGTCCATCCATTTATTCATCTGTCTAGTCATCTATCAATCCTTCCATCACATCCAAAATTAAGATATAATAGATGGATGGATGGATGGATGGATGGATGGATGGATGGATGGATATATATCCAAATGGATAGATAGATAGATAGATAGATAGATAGATAGATAGATGGATGGATGGATGGATGGATGGATGGATGGATGGATGGATGGATGGATGGATGGATGGATGGATGGATGGATGGATATCCAAATGGATATATATCCAAATAGATAGATAGATAGATAGATAGATAGATAGATAGATAGATAGATAGATAGATAGATAGATAGATAGATAGATAGATAGATAGATAGATAGATAGATAGATAGATAGATAGATAGATAGATGGGTAGATGGATGGATGGATGGATGGATGGATGGATGGATGGATGGATATATATCCAAATGGATAGATAGATAGATAGATAGATAGATAGATAGATAGATAGATAGATAGATAGATAGATAGATAGATAGATAGATAGATAGATAGATAGACAGACGGACGGACGGACGGACGGACGGACGGACGGACGGACGGACGGACGGACGGACGGACGGACGGACGGACGGACGGATATATATCCAAATAGATAGATAGATAGATGGATGGATGGATGGATGGATGGATGGAAATCGAAATTGATACATATCCAAATAGATAGATAGATAGATAGATAGATAGATAGATAGATAGATAGATAGATAGATAGATAGATAGATAGATAGATAGATAGATAGATAGATAGATAGATAGATAGATAGATAGATAGATAGATAGATAGATAGATAGATAGATAGATAGATCAAATGACGGATAGACAGATACAATAATTTTCTGCCTTGCTTTGCACAATGTTATCCCCACCTCTCTGTGCAGTGATTGGCTCAAATCTGTTCATTCTGTCTCCTGATAG